GAATTTCAAAACTTCCCCGATATTTTTCCCCGTCCCCGACGGGGATGGGGATCCCCAACGGGGACGGGGCACATTGCCATCCCTAGTGGCTGAAGAGGCTGCTGGTCAGACGAATCTGGCTGGAACACCCCAATTGCCGGCGTAGGAGAAACTACCGGCGACTGTGGTGGCCTGGCCGCTTGAGGAAGACAGGACTCGAGTGAAGGCAAATCTTCCATATGGGGAACACGTGGCTGTATAGGCAGAGTAGTAATCGGGAGAATATTATTTGTATGGGGGGAGATGGATGGACAGAGTTATTTATAGTTAGGGTTTTGTAGGGAAATTGGGTTGAGACAAATTTGACGTGTCTAGAGAGAAATGTCCTCTTTGTTTTGGGTTCATAACATTTATAAGCAGACTGTGAATTTGAGTATCCCAAAAAAATACAAGAGGAAGATTTAGGCTCAAGTTTATGAGAGCGGTATGGCTTTAACCAGGGAAAACATAAACACCAAAACGGCTGAAGCTTAGCATAATTGGGCTGAGATTTATATAAAACAGAAAAGGGAGACTGATTATCCAAGACAGGTGTGGGGAACCGATTTATGAGATACACTGCAGTTTGGAACGCATGAGACAAAAAAGACAAAGGTAAAGAAGCAGAATGTAACAATGACATACCAGTCTCAACTATGTGGCGGTGGCGGCGTTCCGCTGTACCATTATGTTCGGGAGTATGAGGGGGAGTGGTGAAGTGAGAAATCCCTTCACTATTAAATATTGGGACAAGTTTAATGAATTCACCGCCATTATATGAAAAAACTGAAACAATTTTTTGTTTGAAATAATTTTCGACTAGCCGTTTGTATTCTGGAAAAATACGAGCCACATCTGATTTCTTTTTGAGTGGGTATAGCCACGTATATTTTGTATAGTGGTCCACAAAAATAACATAGTAAGCATAACCATCAATTTATTTTTTAGGTGAGCTCCAAACATCCGTATAAATTAATTCTAGAGGTCTGGAACTCACCATAGAATTTTCTGCAAAAGGTAACTTGTGACTCTTATTAATGTTGCAAGAAATACAATGAAAACGACTTAACGAAAGGTTGGAAACATTGGTGCAACGACTTAAAATACGACCAAGTACTTTATTTGAGGGATGTCCTAGACGATGATGCCAATCAGGCACAGACACCAAACTGGTTGCATTGGCTTGAGGCAGAAGTGAGGCAGGAGCGTAGTAGACACCATTAACGGTCTCCCCCCGCATCAGTGGTGCCCCCGTTTGACGATCCTTCACGAGAAAGAAATTAGAAAAGAATTCAATTGAAACCGAGTTAGTGTGGCATAGTTGAGAAACTGACACTAAATTCCTATATAACTTAGGAACACATAGAACATTAGTAAGGGAAAGAGATCGGGATGGTGTGGAGAGGGTAATATGACCAATATGAGTTATAGGAAGGCACTTACCATCACCCAGGCGTATTTCATCCGGACCACCATATTCGATGAAAGAGTGTAGTGGCGAAGTACTTGACGTGGTATGGTGAGAAGCACCACTGTCAAATAGCCACGGGTGTGTCGGCACTGGTTGTGTCGTGGACATATTGACAGATGGGCTGGGCCGGCACTCGCAGAAGGAACATGAGTGATTTTATTTTCTTTCAAAAACCGTATTAGTTTACGACAATAACGTACCTCTGTCCAGGAATATTACAAAATTTACACACCAAACCATTTTGAGAGGGGCGGCCATTATTGTAATTTTGCCATTGCGGTCAGGCATTGTTATTCGCAGACTGACTATGACTGCGACGATTCGTATAAGAATTACCTTGAGACGACCGTCCGTTGTTGGAGGACTGCTGAGTAACATTCGTAGTGGCAATGATACTTTGCCGGGACTCATCTACTTCTTTTAACAAACGCTCATGATCCGTGAGGATCTCAGAGAGTTCAAAGAGAGACAATGGGGACTCTCGGACACGTATAGCTGACACAACGGAATTGTATTCCTCACCAACCTGAGTAAGGATGTGAACCGTAAGATCTTCATCAGACACCGGGCACTGTGCGATAGCAAGATCATCGGCAATGGCCTTCATGTAGTTGAGATAATCCACAATAGACCAACTACCTCGCGGATTGCGTGCTAACTTGGACTTAAGTGAGACAATGCGCCCACGTGAGGTGTTTGCAAAGCTCGCCATTATCGATTCCCAAGCCAGCCGGGAGGTTTTAGCTGAAGAAATGAGTGGCTGAATAGGGTCAGAACAGCTTCCAAGGAGGACGCTGACGATAATCTGGTCTTGACGGTACCAGCTTGTATAGCTAGGATTTGTTACCGTTTTCGCAGCATCGGAAAATTGGGATGGGGCGACAGCACTCCCATCAATGTAGCCTAATAAACTAAAGCCGATTAAAGTGGCTTGGATTTGACGTCTCCAAACTGAAAAGTTGGAGGAAGTAAGTTTAATAAGGAAATTTGCAGGAACAGTAATTTGAATTATGGGGATTTCAGGTGTTTCAGTTGTGGTGGACATTATGTAGTCTAGGGAGAGGAGGAAAAAAAAAACTAAGAATTGTTGCTGGCTCTTGATACCATGTGAAGGTAGGAAATAATTGTATTGATTATAACTTTACAATGAAGGTATAAATAGAGCTTTACATGAGAAGTTGTAACAGAAGCATAATAGTAGACTAAAGAAAGAGTAAACAACAGAACTGCTAGAGACTAATTCAAGCCACATGTTTAACACTATCTTCAAATAATATCAAAGAGTTAACTCCATGAATGTATCAGGATACCATCATTGTCATATACCAAAATTTTTCCCTTCTACTTTTAATTGGACTATGAATAATCCCTTGACTATTGATCTTTACCAATTTTCGTACTCGACTTTCAATTTAACAATAAGTGGTCATTTGACTATTGACTTAAAAAATAAAATAAAATTGGTCATTTAATTTACCATTTTAATAAACATTAAATTTAAGCATAATAATGTAAAAAAATTTAGTTTTTCACAATGATGAACTTAATGTATTAAATTTATAAACTCAATTTGTCGATCTCAACAACAAACTAATTTTTATATTATTGTTCTTAAATTTAATGTTTACTAAATGGATATTTAACTGAAGGACCAAATTTGGGACAAAACCAATAGTTAAGGGGCCATTTATGGTCATATTAAAAGTCGACGACGAAAATGGATAAAGATCAAGTCAATGAACCATTTATGGTCCAATTGAAAGTCAAACGATAAAAATAGATAAATGTCAATAGTCAAATGACCATTTCTGGAATTAACTCTAATATCAAATTATCCAAAATCATCAAAATTATATAATCCACGTATATTCGGCAAATTATGTTGTGCATCCGTGTGCACCATGCATGGTGCACACGGATGCAAAAACGGCATCGTTTTACTTAAATTTAAAAAAAATTATTTTTGATTGCCTTTAGTTACGTAAACATATGTTCATAATTTTATAATTTCACATTCTGGATTTATAGTTATGAAATTATGGATGTGTGGTTATGCAATTCCGGATTTATAGTTATGAAGTTATGGATGTGTAATTATGCATGCAATTCTGAATGTATAGTTATGAAGTTATGGATGTGTAGTTATGCAATTCTGAATGTATAGTTATGAAGTTATGGATGTGTAGTTATGCAATTCTTTTTTCTTTTTTCTTTTTTTAAGTCGGACGTTAAAACGACGTCGTTTTTGTAACCGTGTGCACATAGTTGCACCATGCATGGTGCACGTAGTTGCACAGCATAACGCTCCCGTAAGATATTCGGATCGTTATGCTGTGCATCCGTATGCACCATGCATGGTGCATACGGATGCAAAAAGGACGTCGTTTTATTAAAAACGCGCATCCCACTTTAAAAAAAAAAATCAGTTTCGATTCCCTCAACAACATTATGTTGTTTATTCATTCTGGAATTTTAGTTCATAAATTCTGGAATTTTAGTTCATTGATTATGGATATTTAGACGTGAATCGAAACTGATTTTTTTCATTCATGCTGGATATTTAGTTCATTCATTATGGATTTTTACTTCATTCATTCTGGAATTTTAGTTCATAGATTCTGGAATTTTAGTTCATTGATTCTGGATATATAGTTCAAATTATGCACAATATAATGTTGTTGGTGGGAATCTAAACTGATTTTTTTTTTTTAAGTGAGACGCGCGTTGAGGCACTTTTGATGTTGTTGCAGAAAGAACAGATGACAGGTTCTATACATGGATGTAGAGTGGCCAGGGGTGATCCCCGGTGTCCCATTTATTCTTTTCGGATGATAGCCTGCTTTTCTTTAAGGCAAATATCCAAGAGGCTACTGTGATTAAAGAATGTTTGATGAGATATGAGAAACTATCTGGACAGGTTGTGAATTATAACAAGTCAAATATATGTTTTAGTCGTAATACCCAACACATGGCCAGAACACAGGTGGCGAGCTGCCTTCAGGTGGTGCAGGCGAGTAATTTTGGAAAATATCTGGGCCTCCCATCGTTTGTGGGCAGAAATAAAAGAGCAGTTTTTTCCTATGTGGAGGAAAAAATCAGGCAGAGAATTGGATCGTGGAACACAAAATTATTGTCTCAGGCTGGTAAGGAAGTTTTATTGAAAAGTGTGGCACAATCTATGCCAACTTTTTCAATGAGTGTTTTTTTGCTACCTGAAACAATTTGTCAATCCATTGAGAGGGCCATGAATAGATACTGGTGGGGAAGTGGCAGGGATAAGGGGATTCACTGGAAAGCATGAGATAAGTTATGTATCCCCAATAAGTTTGGTGGTTTGGGTTTCAAGGAGTTGAGGGCTTTTAATTTAGCTATGCTGGGCAAGCAAGCATGACGCTTTTTGACAAATCCAGAGTCTCTGGTGGCAAGAATATATAAAGCCAGGTATTACCCCACTTCTAGTTTTGTTGATGCTACTATTGGTAATTGCCCAAGTTTTTGTTGGAGAAGTATTATGGCAGCACATCCAATAGTGGTAGCTGGGATAAGACGCAGGATTGGAAATGGGGAAACAACTCTTATTTGGGGACACCCATGGCTCCAGGATAATCCAAGTCCCTTAATACAAACAATTATGCCTGAGGAGTTGAGAGATGCACGGGTAGCAGGTTTGATTGACCCACAAACACAAACATGGGATCCACATATTTTATCTGATTTATTTATCCCAGAGGATGTGAGCAGAATAGTTATGATTCCTGTTAGCCCTGGGTATGATGACTCATGGTACTGGATGGGTGACCCAAAAGGTATTTATTCAGTAAAGAATGCCTACAAGCGTATTGTTGGGGATTATGAGAATAACCCAGGTGATTTGATAAATGGGTTAAAATGTGGAAATTGAAAGTACCACCAAAATGAAAGACTTTTTTGTGGAGAGCAGTTTGTGATATTTTGCCTACTACCACAAATCTAATTAATAAGAGGGTGGAGGTTGACTCGACATGCCCTATGTGCAGATTTAATAATGAAGATGTGTTGCATGCATTAGTTTATTGTGAATATTCTGTATTAGTTTGGAATATAACACAATTACCTATCACAAATATTATTACAGATTCTTTTGCGGAATGGTTAGCCGGGGCTATGTCAATTCTGACAGAGGAACAAACACAACTGTTGGTGGGTGTTCTGTACAATATTTGGAGAAGCCGCAATTCGGCAGTGTGGGAAGGGGCCATGACACGGCCGCAGGCCGTGGTGAAGGGGGCGGCAACCTTGTTGAATGCTTATGGTGCAGTACACGGCCGTGCGGCGAGAGAGGGAATACGGACACAATCCGAACCGGTGTTGCCTGGCAATCACATGCGATGCTATATGGATGCGGGATTTCAGCAAGAAACCGAGGAGGCTACGTATGGGATTGTGTTATTGGACCCCGGTGGCTCGTTTGTGGCAGCTAAGAATGGCAGATCACCTATTTGTTTCTCACCACTCATGGCAGAGGCAGTGGCTTTTAAAGAGGCACTGTCCTGGTTACTAGAAAGGAGTATAAATTCAGCCGAGCTGCTCACGGATTGTATGGTTCTGCGCGCTGCTATACATCACCAAACTACGCCCGTTCACTCGTACGTTGGGTTAGTAATTGATCAGTGCAAGACAATGATGTCCTTATTTAGTTCTGTTTCGTTAAGCTATGTGCCTAGACAGTTTAATATACATGCGCATACTTTAGCTTCGTTAGCTTTTACACAGGAAAATTCTATTTATTGGGAGTCTATCCCTCCTGATGCTATTATAGCTTTCATCAATTAATACAATCGACATATTGATTTTTTCAAAAAAAGTGAGACGCGCGTTTTTAATAAAACTACGTCGTTTTTGCATCCGTATGCACCATGCATGGTGCATACGGATGACAGTATAATTTGCTCGTATATTCCTGATGGGCTAAAACCAAGTCAAAACCACCAATTAGATATTCCAATTAATTCAAATGGTCTAGTTCAACTCAATTAAATATTTCATCATTTTTGACCGAACAATCCAACACCCAATTACTCTTAATCAGGTAATTAGACCAGTTAAATATTTATTAAACCATTTAATCAATCTAATTAAATACATTTTGTTATAATTAACAAAATTAAAAGTAATTAATTATCAACCCATGCTGTTTTCAAAAAAAAAAAAAAAAAAAAAAAAAAAAAAAAAAAAAAAAAAAAAAAGAACTATCAACCCATGCTCAATAGCACACATACTGGCTCATTTAAATTGTAATGCTTAAAATGGATATATATAAACTATTTATGTTTATTGATTTTCAGTATATATTGTTTATATATAGAGTATATATTAGTTGCTGACAATCAGACATATTGTATGTATAATGTATACAATGTAAATCCTAGACTTCAGCCCAATTGTTAAGCCCATTAAATATACCTCCTTTAGGACAGCCCAATAGCTAGTATGTTGTTTTTGGCCCAAATACCTCATCAAGCCCAATTTCAGTGTTCCATATATTACTCCGTACGGTGCGAATATATGTTCTTCTTCAGTCTTCGTAGAGCGCAGAAAGCCGCTCCCCGCTTTACAACGTTCTCGTTCCCAGAGGTTCGCGCTTCGGTATCTCATCTTCTCCCTACCTTATCATTTATATACGTATCATCTGCGTGTATATATGCGTTTGTATGTACTTGAATACACTTCATTTGCGTAAGGGTTTTTATGGATTTTTTTTTTTTTTTTTTTATTGAAACATAGTAGTGATGATCTGATATGGTTACCTGATTTTCATGTTGACGCAATGGTTTATAAGTTGAATGTTTCTTGATGATTTCAATTTCTTTTAGTGTAAAGTTAAGAAGGTTTCTTCATGTGTTAACCTGTTGTGGGAAGAGTAATATATTGCTTGAACTTCATTGCAGTTTGATAGGTTTGATGGAGATTGGATATGGCATACCAAATGGCCTTCATGAGAATATTGAAGATGGCAATGACATTAAGATGTCTGAGTTTGAGGAGGGAGAATTGGTCGAGATGATTTCTAAGACTGAATTGGGAGAAAATAGTGCTGTAGTTTCCAAGATAGAATCACAAGAAACTAGGGCTGGAACTGAGGACGTATTTGATAAAGACCATGGGACTAAGAATAAGAACCCTAGGAAGAAGAATAGGAAGAAGAAGAGGAAGAACAAAGGAAATAAAGGCACTCAAGGTCCAAATATTACAGATATCAACAGGTTTGTGATTTTAAAGCATGGATATGACAAATGATTGTTTCCTTCTATCTAGTAATAGTAGTGGATAAAGAAAATAGAACCTTTCTTTCAGGAAACTTGGGTATTTAATTTGGAAAATTGGGGGGTATGTTCCATTTGTAGGACATTATGGTTGATTCTGATCTCATAGTATTCTCGGTTGTAGGTTTGTTACATATGTGTGTAAACGGCTGAGAGAAAAAAAATCTTATTTGGTGTGGAACGCTGTGGCATGTCTTGGTGTATCAGCTCTCAGTGATCTTGTCAGAGAGGTAAGGTTCACATTCTGTTTGAAACTCTTTTTGTATTTTATTTCATATGAATGCCTGATAACTAAAATAGCCATTGTGTAAAGATATGTAGCTATGTAACCTTCCCATTTTCTTCTTTCTAAGTTGTAACGAGAATAAGATGTGAAGTTCATTTGTTTATCACCCCCTTCAAATCTTCAATTGGAATTATGTGACTTGTAGACTATTTAAATGATTTACTTATGTATATCCATTTTGACATTCTTCTCCCAACACTCAATACCTTCATGCTTGTGTGAGCTTCTATTCCCTAGAGACTGGTATTCATCAAAATGGGTAAAATCAAAGTGGTTTTTTTTAAATCAAGGCTATCATTTACTAAAACTTGTTTAACATCTGTAGTTCTGCCTGAGGTTCGTTGTGTTAAATCGCCCACTGAATCCAACCATTCAAGAAAAAAATTAGGTAATAGTTTAAAGGTGAGGGGGTCAGACTTAATCTATTTAAATATTATGCTGTTCTTTTGTTGTCTCTGATGATCAATGTTGTTTCCCTACACTCGCAGATATTTGAGGTGATTTCATTGGTTTCTGTTCCATGGACCTTTCTTCCAAGATAGTTTTTGGTTATACCACTTTATGAAGTCCAATTGGTATATGTTGATTCAGATAATTTGGCAGTATGTTACTTTTCCTTCATTAGTATGCACACAGTAATACACTGTGTATTAAAAATTGTCATGCATAACAGAGTTCGTACATGCTCTTATGGTGGGCAGGCATTAATTAAAAAAACAATTGGCGAAGTGAATTATTGTGAGGAATCCATATCCATAAATAAAATTGTCAGAGCAAATTATTGTGTGGAATTCATTAAAAAAAAAAAAAAACAAAGTGAATTATTATTAGAGTTTAAATATTTATTCCATTAACCTTCATGCTATGAACTTTCAAAAATTTATATGCTCTGAGATGAGATTTTATATGGAGTTATTAAAAGAATTAGTACCCACATGATTTGTTTGGATCAAAGTGTTTCTATCCATTGAACTTCAAAATTGGAACTGTGAAATTAAATTGTAGATATGAAGGTGATCTAAACTCTAAAGGTAGTTGAATTGTGTATTTTCAAATAAGATTGGATTTTGATGTTTCCTTATTGTTTATGGAAATGGAATTACACCAATGAATTTCTAGCATAGACTCTGTTTATGGTTTTACACAATTACTGAAGTTATGTTTTTAAACTTTTGTTTGAGCCATCTTGAACTTGACCTGAAAAGTGTTCTTGTGCCTTGAACTTGGCTTGACTTTGGCTCTATTGGGTGATTGAGATAGTCATGAATTTACACATGTTACAACAAAAGTATGATTCTGATGAGCAATTTAGAATATAATAGAAGAGGTGGAGCCTTGCACAGGTTAATAAAGAAATGTTTAAAGCCAAAGGAGATGGATGGCAATGATAAAATTTTTGAAAGGAATAAAGGATTAAGTAGGGAAGTCAGTAAAAATTTATGAGTTGAGCTGTTTAGTTGAACTTCTTTAGTGATGGTCTATGCCATGTATTATTAATATATTAAATAAACTAGCTTCTTTCATACATAAGCTGGTGTCTAAAAATTTATGAATGGCTAGGCTTGCTTTTTAACTATACTTGCCTACTTGGGGAATTTAAAATATTAAAGTCCAGATTTTGTCTTGTGCAATTCTGATATTCCAATAACAAGGGGAACTTATTCGGTGTTATTGCAGGCTGAAATTATACATTTATTTTTTGTCTGGTACCAAAATTAACATTTATATTCCTAAGAAAATAAATTATGTGTATTTGTTACACTATCAATTCCCATACCTATAAAACTAGTACTAAGTACTAACTGAATACCATTTGCAGGTGGAGGCAATTCAGGCTTGTGGTGGACAGAAGACTGCTGATGGCCGGCGCTTTAGAGCAGGTGGTGGGATATTGTGGAACGTCATCAAAGCGCGTGAGCCCAATGCTTACAAAGATATAATGAAAAGGGGAAAGGAGTTTGAGGTGAAATATTGCATCTTACTCCCCTCTTTAGCAATGTCTGTATGGCTCATTGAATTTTTCATTGTTGAGATGAATATGCACGTGCACTCCTGTCTGTTTTTTCCACATAAAACGTCTTAAAATTATGACACTTCAATGGTACTAAATTTGCAGAAATTGGTACTCAATCCTTTGTAAAACAATGATGATATATGCTTGTTCACATCCATGATAATAGGAAGTGCCTTTATTTTATTTGTTGTACTAAGGTGTACTGGTTTCTGCAATAGATACACGGAAGAGTCATAGATACATCTTATAAACAAGGTCAAGTAGTTTATTGCAATTAGAGATGAATCTTTGTTATCAAACCTTTATAGAATTGTTTCTCACTATCACAAGTATACTATTTTCTTAATGTTGTTACTCCGTATTTTGTATGATGATTTGTTTTATGGGGCTAAATTTTTTGCTGTTCAATTGTTTTTGTCCCAACCAATTGCAGAAGCAGCTCAAGCAAGTTCCTAAAACGCCCCTGATCAAGCAAGAAGCAAAAGACGCTATTTCCCAGAATACCCTTGGCACAGTGACAGATAAACCGCTAGCCAATGCTTCAGATGGTCGTGTTCCATCTAATATGGTGTGCGATTTTCAGGAAGAGTCGACTAGTGGACCACAACGGCAGTCTGTTTATAATAGAATACGGGTGCCAGTCTCCTATGATGATCTGTTTGAAGAAGAGTGTGCTAAATGTAGAGCATATGCTATATAATTTGCTACTGAACTATGGACCTTTACAGATTCCTTTTTTTTTTTTTTTTTTTTTTTTTTTTTTTACATTTGTACTGAATTCTTTAAAGTGCATTTTCACTATACTGATTGATCTGTGGACTGTGGATATGTTTTTTGATTATTTATTTATTTATTATCATGGTTGCAGTAGGCGCTAGTCGGGCGTCCGGACAGCGCCTAGGCGGAATCTAGGCGGGTGCCAAAAAAACAGTGGTAGATTTGCAGTTTTGACAATTTTAATGAGGTTGTTTTCAACATTTAATCAAATAACACATTCAAAAAAATGAATTAATGATAACTCAATAAGTCATAACATCAAAACAATGGTTTTTTTAAAAAAAAAACACATTAAAATAATAATATTAAAAATTAAAATACTCAAATATGAAATACTCAAATACTTCAATCATCTAAAGATTCAAAGTATCAAACTAGTCTACGAGTGTATATATGTCATAATATATATATGTATGCGCGCGCACACGCACACATATATAATAAAAAAATAGGCCGAGCCGATCGGGTTAACTCGACCGAAATGGATGAGTTAACTCGACTAACTTAGACGCTAAGCGGCCAAATCGACCGAGTTAGGCGCTAGGCGGACGTCTAGGCGGCCGGTAACCTAGGCGGGCGCCTAGGAGGGAAATCGCCACGGTCTAGAGGTGTCTAGGCGGGCGCCTAGACCGATTTTTACAACCCTGTTTATTATATTTGGTTGGTCAATGTATTATAACATGTTATTTATGTTTATTACATGAATCATTAAGTCATCCAAAAAGTCATATTACCTATGTAGATTGCAGAACCAATATTTGACTCCACAAATGCTATTACTCTGAGATGTACCATTTTTTAGCAACAGTATTTTATCTGTGCAATATTTAAATTTAAAATATGCATATATCATTCATATGAATTATACTTTGAATTTACTGCATCAAAAATTATTATTAAAAACTTAAAAAATACGGAGTACTATGGAGTATTGAAAAGGGAATTAAAATCTGAAAATAAATAAAGAAATGGTTTACGGAGTAATATTTTTTTTGTTAATTTAAAAAGTAAAGAGAATGGTCAAATACACTCCTAAACATTATAGGTAAGCCGCCTTTAAACTTTAAAAATATGCAATTAAGTACTTCAACTTCATAAAATCAATGAAATAAGTTCACTTAGCAGGTAATCAATAGGTTACCGGTAACTATACCTTCATTGACCGTCATCACCGACTGTTGACTGTCATCTTAAACAGTAAAAAAAAAAAAAAAAAAAAAAAAAAAACGGCTACCGCGTCCAACGACCTCCTTCTCCAAGAAGAAGACAACTGGTCGCCTTCAAGGCCGGCCCATCTCCACCCCCCCCGGGCGTCGACATCGTACTCAGTTGAAGAAGGCGCCTGAGGAGGTGACGCTTGGTCGCCTCCTCCTTTAGGAAGAAGGCGACCGGCGTCCCCATACCAACTACTTTGTAGTGTGATGACACATATGTTAGCATTTCCAAATGGGTAGTCAAATGTTCAAATTATATTTAGTATTTAGTAATTGAGCAAATACCAATTTTAATCACACAAGTTAGTAAAATGACAGTTTTGGTCCACATGCTTAAATGTTTAATTATTACAAATTTTCATCAAGGACTATTATTTTCGTGCCGAAATTGATCGCGTCGATCACCTCTCCGACTAAAACATGTCGGATTGTGTAATTTATAAGGATATTTTCGTCTATTCATGTATAATATGTCAATTTCATTAATGTATGAACTCCTATCCAAAATATGGCAAGGCCTTTGTACTCCATTATTATATATGAACTAGTATTTGTCCCGTGCGATGCACGGAAAATATGTTATAAAAATATACCCTATATGAGGTTTATTCATATATAAAAATTTTGTTATTTAATAATTATTATGTGTGAATTCCTATGATAAAATTATGAACATAAATATATTTACAATTAAAATAATATTTAAGGTGGGTGATTACTACAAATCTTAAACTATATTAAAAATTTAGTACATAGTGTTTAATATTACAAATTTTTAAGAACTTAGTAAACTACAATAGTAATTTAATTACAATTTTAGAGTCACCACGGATCAAAATTTTTAGACCTTTGAGATTTCTAACTCTAGATGTAGCAACATACAATTGACCTTTAAAGACCAAAATCACAATCTTAGTTCGAACATTGATTTTTTCTTCCAAATACTATCGAATTAAGTGTGTAATCAATAAAAGATGAGAACTAATAATTCGAGAATATAATCTTAATGTTAATAAGTTTACTTCACGTCAATTAAGTTGGAGAGTGTTGTTGGATAGTATTTGATGAATCCGCGAATAACGCATCTTTTTCTCCATAGTCCTCAATATGCACATCAACAATCTTAAATATTAGGCCGCATAGCTATGCCATATATTAATTTCAAACTTATGAACTTTGGGGTTGCATGCAATAAAAAGTATATATTAAATAAATAAGGGTACATTATATATGTATGTAAGATACTTTCAGTATAAAAATAATGTATTTTTAATATATTAAAAAGTATTTAATATTCATGATCCATACAATTATGTGGACCATCGTTCACACAATAATTTGCCAGTAGAAATTGAAATATAAATAAATATAATTAATAAGTAAATATATATATATATATATATATATATATATATATATATATATATATATATATATATATATATTAATTAGAAACTGTCAGTGGAAATTATTATCATTATTATTATTGCAATTATTATTATTATTGTTATTGTTATTATAATTAACAATATTATTATGGTCTTGTGAAAATTAAATGTTGATTATCACTATTTAATTTTCACAAGACCATATAGCTTTATTATATATAGGATGTTTAAAAATATCCTTACAAGTTATACATTCTGACATGTTTTAATCAAAAAGAGTGACCGATATATTCAATCTTAACACGAAAATACTAATTGTGAATAAAAATTGAATCAAAATTGTCATTTTACTAATATTTATGGGACTAAAATTAGTATTTGCTCAGTAATTAGTATTGCGATTTGCGAACCGCCGAACTCTAACTCCATAAGGGGGGTGTATTCAATCATGACTTTTATACAGTTTTAAAGACTTTTATGAACTTTAAAAGTTTGGAGGTATTCAATTCAAACTTTTTTAGAGTCTTTAAAAGTCAGGCGGATTCAATCACGCTTTTTAAAGAGTCTTTAAAAGTTATGTAGTATTCGATTAAGATTTTTAGAAAATCTTTAAAAGTCATGTGGTATTCAAAAAGTTATGAACTTTTGTAGACTTTTTAATTTTAGGACTTTTGTAGATTTTTCCTTCCCAAATATAAATAGTTGAAATCCAACCATCAACCCCAAGATTTCAAAATTTTCTTTCTAACAACTTTGAATGTTTTCTCTCTCTATTTAAACTCTATTTTTTCTCCCTATTTAAACTTTATAAACCTATTTAAATTTAATAAAATAATTTTTTTTCTTCATTATCCTATATTTTCCTCACACCTAAACTCTACTAATTTTTCTCTCTCCTAAACTTTACAATTTTCCTCTAAAAATTTGAAATAATATTATTTTGACTTCATTATATTATTTGCTTGTTTATATTGATTTATATTTTTTTGTATGAATTTTTTATCCCTAACTTTAATTTCTCTAATTCTCCCTAAATACATTAACAAAGCAAAGCAAATTTTTCATCGTGAAATTTGAGTATATGTTTCATAATATTGATATAAATACTTATATATTGTTTTTATGTGTATTAATGTAAAGTTAAGAAGTTCCATGTTAAGTAACATATATGTTTTGAGAAGAGTAATGAATAATGATATTGCTTTAATTTGAAGTTTGATGGAGATTGGATATGGCATATAATAGCATTTGCAGGCGGATCGGAGGCAATTCAGGCTTGTGGTGGACAGAAGACTGGTGATAAGCCAAATGAATTGAAAGGGGAGTGGATCGGAGTTTGAGGTAATTAATATAATGATTATTTCATTCATGCTCACAGTACAACTTAACGATACTGTATGTTTTCTTAATGTTTCTGTTTTATGGGGCAGAATATCCTAATTCTTTTCGATTCTGCTTCCCAGAATATAATTAATACCCCTGCCACAGGGACAGATCAGATCAAATGCTTCAGAACTCAACTCTTAATTCCATCTACTATTATTTATAATATACAATAACAAAATGCTATATAATTTACTACTCAACTATCCACCTTTTCATATTTTATTTTGTTGTTTCAATTCTTTAAACTGCATTACATCATGATCATTGAAATTTTGGCCCTAAATTAAATGCCCTTCCTTTAGCTGCGCTTATAGTCCAAAAGCTAGTCGCTTCTTTTTGGTCCAAATCCCTCATCAAGCTAGTCGATCGGTTGTTTTAGGTTATTACTCTACGTACTCATGCTAAGCTTCTATTCCTACTAATACTTTTGTTGGGACCTGGTCTATCATAAAAATAGGCGGAATGTAGTGAACAACATACATTAATGTCTAAAGGCGAGACAATGCCTATTTATAGTATAGTATAGTAGAGGTCCTGACCTTTGTTATTCTCTTCTTCACTTACTATGCCTAATTGATCTTGTTGGTAGTACCTTCTTACTATTTTTCTCTCTTCTTTTGGGTCATCATGCTTCCTTCCTTACTAGCCCAATAAGAATTTTATTCTTCTTAGACCAAAACTTCACCAATAAAAAATGATCTTCCTAATAAAATAGCTCTCCGAGGGAAGCAAGCACATCACGATTCCCTTACTTTCTTTAGTTGACCCATTAGACTCGATTCGCCTCTCATTTGGATAGTTTGGCCTGGTCATAAAATTTTAAAAGTCCGCCCTATCTTTTTGATGGGACGAGACGGGCTAAGCCCATTTTGACGGTTCTATTTGTGCTGATTCTCGGGGGGTTTCACATTTTGGTGGTGGTTTGAATCTGAAACCTATAGCAGATATTACACAAGGTGAATGCAAAAATGAATATT